GGGTTGATCCATCCAACGGAATATTATTCAACCTTGAAAAGGAAGGAGCTTCGGACACATGATACAGTGCCTTGAAGACATTATGCTAAGTGAAATGAGGCCGTCACAAAAGATAAATATGTTATGATTCTACGTGTAGGAACTTCCTAGAGCAGAGGGTGCCTTGGCGGCTCTGTCGGTTAAACCTCTGGCTTCAGCTCAGGTCATGATCTCATGGTTCATGAGTTTGAATTGGACTGAATTGGACTCTGTGCTGACAGCTCAGAGCCTGGAGCCTGCTTTGGATTCTGTGTCTCTCCCTCTTTCTGCCCTCCTCTGCTCGCGCTCTGTCTCTCTCTCTTTCGAAAATACAAATAAACGTTAAAAAAAAGAAAGAAAGAAATAGACTTACAAAAAAAGTTCAGAAAGAGTGAAGCTGTGGTCAATGTGCTCATACTGTACAACGAATGAGTTTAAATACCAAACTAAAACAAACATGCCAAGGGACTGTGGGTTACAGAAAAGAATATAAATGCCACAGGCAATAACAAAGAAAAAAAACGTAAGTAATAAGTCAGGAAGAGGACAGGGAGGAGGCAGGCTAATTACTTCATTTTTCATTATAGGAAGCCTATCTACTCCATCCCATCCAAAATCTGAAACAAGTAGAACATGACTTTAATACAAGACGTAGTTGTTCCTTAAATGATTCCTAACTGCTTCTTGATTTTCAACACCTCTTCTTAATTTTAGAGGATTTTCTTAGAAACTACTGTCTCTTGTGATCATTTCATTCTTTTTTAATTTTGCTTTCTTCTTCCTCTGATACATTTAAATAAAATTAAATGCAATCGCTTGAATGTCATCAACAGTATGATCTCATCCCCTTAAAAATCCCTTTTCCCAGGGTGCCTGGGTAGCTCAGTCAGTTGAGCATCTGACTCTTGATATCTGCTCGGATATCAGGGATCCAGCCACTCGCTGGGGTATATGCTAAGCGTAGCCACTGCTTGAGATTCTCTCTCTCTCTCCCTCTGCCCTTCTCCCCCTGCTCACTCTCTCCCTCTCTCTTTAAAATAAATTAAAAAATTTTAAATCCCTATTCTCCATGTGTGTACAGTCTGGCTGGCTACGAATCTTCCCACTCTCCTTCTCTCCCTATATATACACAGAGAAGTGTCAGTCAGACATCCAATGATGGGGAACAGGCAGCGTTGGCCTTCTTCCTTACACTTCCGTATTGCTCGAATTTTTTATAATGAATGCCTATAACTTTCATTTCATACAACGTCATTAATTTTAAAAACTGAAAGATACACCAGAGAAATGCTCATATAGACAAAGATGAATGGCA